TCCGCTGGTGCCACGTGTAAAAAAAAAAAACCATCCGTTGTTGCCACATATACTGTAAGATATTACTCGTTGTGGGTGGCTATCTTGACCCTAACCTAACCTAACCTAACCCGTCCTGCCGTGGCATACGTTAACACACCCCCGACACTGTTGGCTAAATGTCGACGACCAATCCCATCGACTGAGAATGAACCTCGAGTACCAGACACGCCTACAGCCAATCACAATTAAGGGGGAATCATGGAACGTGAATGTTATTGGCTAGTATCAAACCCATCACCAGGGCCACTCTAAAGTGAAATGGTGAATCGTGATGTCATTGGTTTAGTAACAGCCAATCACTGAGGTCAAAACGGCTTGTATTTCACTCGTTAGGTGGCGTTGATTAATTGAGTGTAGTTGGTATCAATGACGTATTATTGAGTATCCCAGTTCATCGGTGACGTCAGAGGCAAAACATCTTCTGATTGGGTGGATTTTGCCTTTGTTTGTGTGTAGGGATGTGTATATAGGCATGCAGGACTTCATGTGTGTGCGTGTGTGTGTGTGTGTGTGTGTGGGAGGGGAGGGGGACGCTGAGTTGGTCACTTAAATTAGGTGGTGTTTGGATCGTCAACATGAGGTTATTATTCTTGCTTCTCCTCTCCTTCCTCCTCCCTCCCTCCATTCCCCCTCCCTTCTCCATCCTCCATCCCCAACCTTCATTCACCTTCCCTCTGGGTCTTTTTCTCTCCTCTCCAGCAGAATTAGTCATTTGTGAGCACATTCTGAAAAATGGTGTGTGTGTGTGTGTGTGTGTGTGTGTGTGTGTGTGTGTGTGTGTGTGTGTGTGTGTGTGTGTGTGTGTGTGTGTGTGCACTCTGCAGAATGTAGATGCTATTGGTATCTCCCCACACACACGTCACACACACACAGCCCTGACCTACTTACACCCACTCACACCTGCCCACATCCATCTACACCCACCCTTATCTAAGCACACACACACACACACACACACACACACACACACACACACACACACACACACACACACACACATGTTTGGTGATATTTTTGTATAATAATTTTAAGTAATGTTTATTATTTATTTTGGAAGGTTAGTTTGGTATGTTACGGCTCTGCTGATTGGGCGGAGGAATACACGGTTTGTTTCCAGCCATCTGATTGGTGTTTATGTTTACCGGGAACTGGATATGGGAGAGAGATTTAGGGAAGGAGAAAGAGAGAGAGAGAGAGAGAGAGAGAGAGAGAGAGGGTAATACGGACGGAAGAAGAGAAAAGAAGAGAAGAGTAGGAAAAGAAAGGGAAGAGAAGAAAGAGAATTAACAGTGAGACATGAGAGAAAGAAAGAGAGGAGACGGCAAGGGAAGAAGGGAGAGAGACTTTAACGTGACACGGAGTTAGTGAGGGTAGCCAACCACAACACGGCGTAGGGTTGGGGAGTTTACATGGTGTGTGTGTGTGTGTGTGTGTGTGTGTGTGTGTGTGTGTGTGTGTGTGTGGTCATATACGTATTAAAAAACCTTTTCCTCCTTTTTCCTCCTCCTCCTCCTCACCCACCCATTTATCGCAGTACGTGCTCTGTATACACACATTTATTTGGACGTTTCAATTCAGGAGACACAAGTCCTGTTCAGATCTTCGTTGGGTAAAAGGAGGCACTGCTATCTGGCCACCGGAGGGAGAGAGAGAGAGAGAGAGAGAGAGAGAGAGAGAGAGAGAGAGAGAGCAGACACACACACAGAAAAAATGGGAATGAAAGAAAGATTAGAGAAAGTGAGATAGAAAGGGGAGATAAAGGCCTCTCTCTCTCTCTCTCTCCAAGAAGAACTAACAGGGATATGCAGGATAAATAGGGAAGGAAGGGCAGGGGAGATAGAGGAGTAAAGGAAGGAGGAAGGAGATAGGGGGAAGAGGAGGAAAGAGGAAGAGAGACAAGGGGGTGGGGGGGAACATCATCAACCAGGGGGAAGGGCGATAGGGAGGGGAGAGACAGGGAGGGTAAGGGGAACATCATCAACCAGGGGAAGGGAGATAGGGGAGGGAGAGACAGGGGGGGTAAGGGGAACATCATCAACCAGGGGAAGGGAGATAGGGAGGGGAGACAGGGGGGGGTGGGGGAACATCAAACCAGGGGGAAGGGAGATAGGGAGGGGGAGAGACAGGGGGGTAAGGGGAACATCATCAACCAGGGGGAAGGGAGATAGGGAGGGGAGAGAGGGGGGGGGAACATCATCAACCAGGGGAAGGGAGATAGGGAGGGGAGAGACAGGGGGTAAGGGGAACATCATCAACCAGGGGGAAGGGAGATAGGGAGGGGGGAGACAGGGGGGGTAAGGGGAACATCATCAACCAGGGGAGATAGGGGAGAGACAGGGGGGTAACATCATCAACCAGGGGGAGGGGATAGGGGGGGAGAGGTACATCATCAACCAGGGAAGGGGAGATAGGGGGAGACAGGGGGGTCATCATCAACCAGGGGGGAAGGGAGATAGGGGAGGGGAGAGACAGGTAAGGGGAACATCATCAACCAGGGGAAGGGAGATAGGGGAGAGACAGGGGGGGGGGGGAACATCATGGGTGGGGGGAGAGACAGGGGGGTAAGGGGAACATCATCAACCAGGGGAAGGGAGATAGGGGAGGGGGAGAGACAGGGGGGGTAAGGGAACATCATCAACCAGGGGAAGGGAGATAGGGGGAGAGACAGGGGGTAAGGGGGAACATCATTAACCCTGATAACCTTCTGTTAGGGACATGACATACCAGGGCAGGAGTCTCTTGTGTGGGTCTGTCAGTGTACTGGCTGGCTGGCCTCGGGGGTGGGGGGGTAGAGGCCGGGAGCTGGGGAGGTCCTGGGATGAGCTCAAGTGGTCCTGGAAGAGGTGTTGTGGTCTTTGTTAGGTTAGGTGAAAGAGATCATGGAAGAGAGAGAGAGAGAGAGAAAGAGCCAGGAAAAGAGAGAGAGAGACAGGAAAAGAGAGAGAGAGAGAGAGAGAGAGAGAGAGAGAGAGATGACCACAACATCAGTCCTGCCATTATACAAACGTTTCAGTCATCCGAAATTGTTTACAAACACTCTGGAGGTGTTAGTTGAGTGTGGGTGGTGGTGGTGACAGGTGGGCGGTCCTCTCTGACGCGCCCACACATTTGTCTCCGTCACACACACACACACAGCTGCACACACACACACACACACACACACACACACACACACACACACACACACACACACACACACACACACACACACACACACACACACACACACACACGCACACACACACACACACACACACACACACATACCACACAGCTGCACACAAAAGTCGGGCGAATGTTCGTCTGCCTTGTCTATTACCTGGATATTACTGAAGTGAAACGCCAGGCACTAGTGATTGCTCCCGTTGGCGTTATTTTTATAGATCGAACATAAACGTAACTTTGTCTTCGCCAGGCAAACGTTCGCCAGCAGTGGTGCTATGTGATTGGTGTAAGGTGACACGCCGTGGTGATGGGGCCAGGGAGGAACACCTTGCTTTGTGTGTGAGAGAGAGAGAGAGAGAGAGAGAGAGAGAGAGTGTGTGTGTGTGTGTCATATGAGGCAAAATGTCTGAGTTCTGATTGGTGGAGGCAGATTTCCAGGAATGTGATTGGTATTCAAGGTATATTCCTTTCCTCAAGATTGGTCGAGTCAGACATCACATGAATTCTGCTTGGTGGAGGGTCATTTCCTGCATTGTGATTGGTGGAGACAAACATTCCTCATTTGTGATTGGTCGAGGGTCATTTCCAGTGCTGTGATGGGTGGAGTGTGACATCCCTGAGAGTTGTGATTGGTGCAGGGTCATTTCCTGGGTGGTGATTGGTGGAGGCGAGGCACCAGGCCAGCCGTCACGCACTCAGGTGATTCAACACTCACCATTATGTGTCTTATATAGTACTGTTATTAGTGTTGTTTTTATTTGTTATTATTATTATTATTATTATTATTATTATTATTATTATTATTATTATTATTATTATTATTATTATTATTATTATTTACTTCTCCTTAAGGCATAGAGATGGAAAGTCCGTTATATCGAAGATCCGTTAAATGCGAATCCTCCGTTATATGGAGGTTCCACTGCTATTACAAACGGTCGATAACACGTAAGGAAATTGATGGGATTTTCGTCCTTAGAGGGTTTAGTTGAAGAGGAAGACAATGCCATACCACAGCACTAGATACATATGGTTGATAAGCGCAAAGGAAGTCTTAAGAATTTCGACACTTAAGCTTCTAATTTAAAAGGGAGATAGTAGTGTGTGTGTGTGTGTGTGTGTGTGTGTGTGTGTGTGTGTGTGTGTGTGTGTGTGTGTGTGTGTGTGTGTGTGTGTGTGTGTGTGTGTGTGTGAGTGACAGACACAGAAAGAGAAAGAATGTGTTAGAGAGAGAGAGAAAGAGAGAGAGGTAATGTGTAAGAAAGTAGGAGACAGACAGAGAATGTGAGAGAGACAGAGAGAGAGAGAGACAGAGAAAGTGTGGGGAGAATGAGAGAGAGAGAGAGACAGAGAAAAGTGTGTGAGAGGAGAGAGAGAGAGAGAGAGAGAAGGAGAGGAGAGAGAGAAGAAGAAGAGAGAGAGGAGTTAGGAGGCTACAGCTTGCCGGGGGATTCTCCCTTCCGTTTCTCAGGTAGGGAGTTATCTCACCCACAGTTCATCACTTGTCACCCACTCACTAGCTCCTCTCACTGACGGGCCCAAAAGGTGGTGGCCAGGCTGTAGATGCTGGTGAAGTTGCGGCTAGATGCTGGTAGTTGTGGCTGTAGATGCTGGTAGCTGTGGTGGTGGTGCTGGTGAAAGTTGTGGTGGTGGGTGCTGGTAGGTGTGGTGGGTAGATGCTGGTAGTTGTGGGTGGTGGGTGCTGGTAGTTGTGGTGGTGGGTGCTGGTAGGTGTAGTGGCAGATGCTGGTAGTTGTGTGGTGGGTGCCAGAAGTTGTGGTGGGTGCCGGGTA